TAAATTTTAGCAACTCAGAGGTACAGTCCAAGCATGTATAGTTTTAAAAGTTCCTCAGGTCATGCAAACCATGTCTTGCATAATGCCACATACTTAAAACTTCTCTATCTTTAAATCCTGTAACTGTCAAAACAAAAGCAAAGCATGTACACACACACCTCTTTTTTACAGTAACCTCCCTAAATCTCTGAGTTACTCAGTTTCTAAATGAACAAGTTTTCATGATCACCTCAATTACACTTGTCAGCATCCTCCAATCCAACATCATCCTATTGGACTATATCTGTTCTCCCTCCAATTTCATGTGAACCTACTGATCAGACATTTCAACAGCAAATCTATGATCTTGACATTCAGCTCAACTAGTCCTGCCAATTCCACTCAAGCACTGTATCGTATGTAAACCCCAAACAATGATGGTATACAAAGTCATTCTGCCCCTTTGAGCCATTTGGCAATCATTTTATTATGTTTTGAGAACTTCCTTATCAAAATTTCCATTGTGGATTTTCAAAATTTTCAACTTTCCTCAAGGACCCCATCTCACTGAAAGCTCCTCAATCAAAGGTGATTTCGCTTCTTTGGTAAAAGTTGTTAGAACTTCCTTGACTTTTTGTTTACTTCACAATCTTTATTTTTACTCACCATATGATTTTGTGCTGACTCTCTGAAGTAGAAAAAAAAGATACAGAAGAGGAAAAATTATCCCTACCATAGAATTTATTGGGCCTTCTAGCAAAATTACTCGCCCTTTATAAAGGAATTTAATACAATGGCTAACAAAAACAATAGCTTCTCTACCCCAGTACGAAGCACCTATAAATACAGATGAGAAAATACTCCTTTTACAAGAGTAAAAAACTATTAAATATTTACCAAAAATTAACAAAACAGGCACAGAATTAATGTGACTAAAAGTACTATTCTTCCTGAAAGATACAAAATGCGAGCAAAGGAAAAGGATGGCCTGCTGCAGACTTGTGCTGCCGTGATGACCACCGACCGAAAGGAAGGAAAAGTGGCTCACACGCTTTACTGTAAACAAAAACAAACTCCAGGCAGTTTTAGTATCTAAATATTTCAATAAATGTAGTGCACTTGTGTATGTATGCATGTACACATACAGACATACTTCACATACACATCTTAAACATGTAATAATACATGTCCAATCTAGAGAACAGGAAAATATCTTCTTAACAAAGACTAGAAACTTAAAAACTGCACAAAAAAAGACAGCCATATTTGAGTACATAAAGATTGACTAGTTATCAAGGAAAAAACATACCAAAGTAAAAAGGAGTAAAATTACATTTGTTAAAATTGGTAAAATAGGAGATTTGATATTTCTGTCAGAAATGTGGGGAAAGGTTATTCCCATATACTGCAAATGGAAACGTGAAGTCCTTTTGAAAAACAACTTGACAACCTTTATTAAAAGTAAACACAGCCCTAGCTGGTTTGGCTCAGTGGACAGAGCGTGAGCCTGCAGGCTGAAGAGCCCCAAGTTCGATTCTGCCCAAGGGCATGTACTTTGATTGCAGGCTCCATCCCCATCCGAGCACATGCAGGAGGCAACCAATCCATGTGTCTCCCTCACATCGATGTCTCTCCTCCCTCCCTCTTCCCACTCTCTCTGAAAAGCAATGGAAAAAATATCCTCGTGTGAGGATTTAAAAAAAAAAAGGTAAATATATTAGACTGGGCCATAGACATGCCCCTTTTTTTCAGGTTCAAGTGGTAAAACAGTTAACAATGTCATGCAGTTCAACTAAGATATATATACTATACAACCTAGAGAAATAAAAGCATAAGTTCCTAAGGATGTTTACTTTAGAAACACTGTTTTTTAGTGGCAAAAAATAAATAAAAAATAAAAGGGATAAAATAAGTCCATTAAAAGGGAGTACCAAAATAAGATTGTGGCACATTAATAATATTCATGGATAATAAAACATTAAAAACAATTGATGGGGGAGGGGAAGAAAAATGGTACACTACAAAAACTATAATCACATTCACGTATTTAAGTAAAAGAATATGTGTATGTGTATAAAGAAGAAAAACTATTTTTGTTATTGTTAGTTTTGCTTTTGATCTTATGGATTCTAAATAGCTTTGTTACTAATCACCTCCAAATTCAAAGGGTTTTCATACTCCTTGACTCACACCACTTGCCATTTCCAGCATTTGAGAAGACTGAAAAGAAGAGTCTTTAAACTTCTAACATTTGGCTTCCTTACTTTCCTCTCTCCTCTCTCACTGGCTTTTCTTCCTGCCCTAATATGTGTCAAGCTGGCTTCTTTTTAGCACTGTGATCTTCACTCTACTCTCCCACTAATGACCTCTCCCACTCTGAAGAATTAGAAAACCACCATCTAACACATGCCCCTGCAATCTTTCCCACTCCAAGTATTCCAGCTAACTGAGGCACAAATCCTCCTTTCAGAACCTTATAATTCAGCATTATCAGGGGCAATTTATGCTCTGGGTCCCCAAATTTGTTTCTCCTCTTGCCTGTAACTATCACTGATTCCCATTCACCACACTTTAAACTTTAGTAATCATGTTGTATTTAACTTCCTATCTCGGCTTTTACCTGAAATTTTAATGCTATCTTCTATTACCTATGCAACACCATTTTCAGCCATGCCTTCCTTTCTACAGTTTCTATCACCCCTACTACAACAGCCTCAAAGCCTCCTAGTCTCTTCCTGTTATCTTCTGACACCCAGACATAAAACATAACTCTAATTATGTCATATATGTTTGTTGCTACCTATCGGCTTGCACATTCACTCTATTCAGCCAGACACCTAAGTTCTCCAGTCTATGGTCTCAAAGTATCTATCTAGGCTCAGAGCACCTTTGTACCCTTCAGATGAGCAGAGATCTTCCTCAACTTACAATGGTGTTATGTCCCAATAAACCCACTGTAAGTTGAAAATACTCTAAGTAAAAAATGCACTTCAATACACCTGATGTACTGAACATCATTATCTTAGCCTAGCCTACCTTAAATGTGCTCAGAACACTTACACTAGTCTACAGATGGGTAAAATCATCCCTCTGCTGCTGTCCAATGTCACGAGAGTATCATGCCACATGTACGTGGGAAAAGACCAAAGTACAGTTTCTACTGAATGCTTTTGTTTTCACACCATTCTAAAGCCGAAAAATTTTAAGTTGCACAATCATAAATCGGGACCATGTGTGTTATCTGTGTCATTCTAACATCCTGCAAATTTCCATTCCTGCTTTTTAGCTCTTTGTTCCAACTACAAGTGTTGAAATTCTTCTGTTCTTCTTCAAATGCCATCTCCTTATGAAGCCTATTCAAATACCAACATTAAAGATGGCTGGGTACTTTCCTCCTAGATCCCAAAGAATAGTTTTATTTACTCTTTTCAAAACTGGGCAATAGTGAAAAGATTACTAGACTACAAATCAGAATGTTGATGTTTTCTTTCAAATGCTACTGCTCTTGCATAAATCAAAGACATTTTAAATTCCCTGAGCCCCCGTTCCTTGTTCCGTAAAATAAAAATAAAATCTAATCTACAAACCTCAGGGGTAGGTAGAAATGCACGGAAAACCAGTTTATAATCTAAGTGTTAACACTGTTATTATATTACCTTTTATTATGCATATCTGTTTTTCAACCACTACCAAATTATAAGCATTTAAAAGGCAGTCTGTTCTTTATAGCCTAACATTCAACACATAGTAGCTATTCAAATATTTTTTTAAACCTTCATAAATCATAAAATAGCTCTCATGCTCCAGCATAAAAAATATATAATCTAAGCACAATTTATATACAATTATGCCTTGATCAAAATAGAACATTAATAACCCTTGTCCCCACAGATATATTTTCAGGGAAACTACTGTCACATAATACATCTAGACCTCTTATTTAGTTCACCTGAAACACAATTAGTTAACTGGTAGGTAGGCAGGGACCCTTTAACATGGCGGATGAATAACTAAGTAGTCAAAGCATCTGTCTGTGTGACTGTGCTGGTAGTATCCGATCCCATCCAACAAATTTATCCAAGATTCATAGTGGAGCATTCGTGCTTTAGTTTACCCTAAAATTCTAAAGGTTGACACCGTGGTTATTTCAGTGACATAAAACTGTGTGTGTGTTTTTTTAAAATAAATATACAAGAGAAGCAATGTTAAGTTTCGTTAAGCTGAAACATTTTATTTTTTCTTACTCTTTTACCAAAGCAAAATTATGGACAATGTTAACAAAAAATAAAAATAAATAAAAATGAAAGGGAGAGTGGAAATGACTCTTTTAGTCCTACAGAAATCTGTAAATCATACCTTAAGAGAACTTGAAAGTCCTTGAGTTACCCTTGAAAACTACATAAGCCTATAATACCTTGTTAAACCAGAAAGCAAGAAAGCTACCTAAACCTACTAGGGTCTTGTCTAAGGACATAGAAACTATCTTAAAGAAGCTATCACTAGCCAAAAATGGAACAATTTTAGCATCACCAGAGATCAATAACCTAAAACACAAATGTGTTTAAACCCATGAGGTCATAAGATAAACTATTTTTACTGCAATTATGTCACACTGTTGACTAGTGTTTCTTGGCATTTTATCTCACGAAAAATGTATCATATCTGCTCTTAGATCTCATATCCACACTCTTATACTTGTCATCCATTTTTAAAAAAAGACATTTATGACTCTACAAATCATTCCTGTTTTAAATTTTAATCTACTATTGCTATTAGTGCCTGATAAGGCTACAGGAGTTACTGATAAGAAACCTTCTTACTAAGAGTTAACTCTTCAAAATAATGGTCAAAAGCTAAGTAGTAGTAGCAAAATAAAAAGTCACGAGTAATTAGACTGTTATGGATTAAAATAGACATGGGTAAAAAAAATAAAATGGAATGTTTGACAGGAACGAACAACAGCAGTTATGAGAGAAGCAAATCACTTTGTGTGTTCATGTAACAACAATAAAAAAGCTCACCCTGTGTGTGATGTTGCTGAGTTCCATAAACAAACCTCAGGCAGCATGATGGAACAGAGAGTCCTAGACTGAGTCAGGAGGCCTCTGTTCTAGCCCAAGGCCTCAGTTTCCTCATCTGTAAAATTAGGGTGCTGAATTAGATAATCTGAAAGGGCTCCTCTAGTTTTAACATTGAGGGATTCTACGGACGAATTTAAGAAGCAGTAAAATGTAGGGCTTTGTTAACAGTGAAGTTTAACTGTTAACATTGGAAACAGCAGGTGGAAATGAATGAAAAGAATTTTCATAAAATTTTGAACTGCAAAAGGCAATTACCTAACTCATGACAGCTGTAAAGGTTTTTATGATTTACCAGCCTTAAGTGACCAAATTATGACCGGAAAAAATCTATTCACCTTTGGCTAGCCAGACCACCCAAGTAAATCTAGAAAATAGTACAGGAACACCTTTGGGCTAGTAATGACTTCAAGTATAAAGTGTTGCATAACTGTCCTCAGTTAAGTAATTGAACATAGAGTAAAATGACAATAAAAATAATTAAACAATTATTCAACTTTAATATGCAATAAAACAACAATTATGCTTGTGATATCCTTTATCAGTAGTGTATTTTTCCTATGCAATAATTTTTTTCTGGTTAGGCCTCAAAATAGAACCTGGTTTCTCCTTTTGGCAACAAGGCTAACTGAAATAAATGACCCCCCCTACCGTGGGGAAACATAAACAAAAAAGGTGCCTTTGTGTTTAAGTTTTCTATGCTGAAAGAATCTATCAGTAACAGATAACAGAAAGGCTCTGGTGCCTCAAAAAATGGTGGTTTTCTAACAGTAATTTCCTAAATACAATTAGCTGCCTGGTCCCAGCTAATCCTCCAAGGTCTAATAAATTGAATTGTAAGTTTTAAATTCATAGGTCAAGCTGATATTCTACTTTATGTTTTGTTTATTTTTTGTTTATGTTGATGCTATAGTTCTGACCTGGCAGACTTAAAACTCCAGGGACATGAGAACCAATCAGCATATCTCAACAATCAAAACTCTATCACAGATGTCTATTCACTCTATTAAAGGTGTACTGTCTACCATTAAAGGATATAAAGATATAATGAAACATTCAATGAGAAAAAAAACTTGTTTTCAAAGCTTGTTTTATGCAAATTACCTAAGGGATTATAAAATAACTTGGCATCCACACAATACATTAATTATTCATTTGAACATCTCACCTTGGCAATACAGTATCTAATATGTTATTCAGAATCACTAATAAAATTTCTCTCTCAAATTTTAGAAATAAAGGCAAAAACAAAAGTCTTCATGGTAATGAAATTTGATATTGGCCAGTCTAAAAATGTTTGTGACATACATGTGTCTGAGATAGAAAATCTGTGAAACAATTTCCCTTTGTATTGAATATATTTTCCATTTTAATTTGGGTATTTCGATTTATAATCCTAATAAGCTGATTAAAATATCTTTAAACTTAATGGCAAACAACAGAAATCAGGATGGACATGCAGAGCATAATGTAGCGCAGCTGTTCTAGGAACTTTCTCAGTCTACCTTATCTCCTCCTTCCATGACTTTTTCAGAGAGAGAGTTAAACATTAGCTTATTTACTAATAAAAATACTATTACTAATGATAAGATACTATAATTAGTATTGTTTTTAGCCAATATTGTACAGTGTGAAACAGCTCCTACAAAAGTTTAGGGCTGAACTGCTGACTTGGGTAAAATATTCTCCTCAAGGGTGGTACACCAAGATCAGCAGTGAAAGAAGAATGTGATCTTTAAAATAACTAGTTGGTATGTCATGTGAAGCCCAATAGGGTGTGTCCCTCACTAAATTTCTATCTGTAGAACATAAGTATATCTGTAATTCTTTCCACCAATTATAAAAGTCAGCACACAATTTTCTCAAAGACCAAAATATCTCAGATATCAATAACACAGAATTCCTGGAACAATATAAATGGCTAGAGCTGAGCACAACATAGCAGCCCATTTGCTTTGAGGAAGTTATAATACCTAGGAAAAAAATGGTATTTTATTATTGCAATGCCATTGGAAAGATAAAAAAGATAAAAGACCAAAAATAAGTCCAAATATGACTATTTTAGGTCACTAGAAAAATATGAAGCCAATATAATATCAAGTAATTACATATAACGTTTCATTTCCTAAACTTTATTAATAACTGCTTAGTTTTGTTGAAAGTTTTCATTTCAGGATTGGGGAAGAAAAATTGGGCTATAAAAAATTAAAATGATCAAATTAATGGTTAAAAATATCACATCTAATAATTACAGTTTACATTTTAATTTTATTTTTCTTTCATTCTCATCCACTTATGACTTATTCTGATATGTACATTTTTAAAATTCAGCCTATCAGATTAGATTTCCTACGAGTAAATTAAATGAGAAAAAATTTAGTATTTTCTAGTGGTTGTACTTAATATTATGTCAGTATGTTTTAGTAGCACTATATTTGTCTCTCAGAAGCCTATAAAAGAACCACAAAATGCTGGAACAACAGTCGTTTGCTTTTCGACCCAACAACTCATTAACATATTGTTAACCATATTCCTAAATTACAGATTTTTAAAAACAAATTCTAATCATCCAATTTAGCTAACAATTCTAGCATAAAAATGAAGGAGCCTTCCTTCCTTCTTTGAAAAATGAATACAATGCACTAAAAAATGTGTCCTAAGACATACTTCATAAATGACAATTGGTCAATTAAAAGAATGGAAAGAGAATCTAGTAATTTTCTCTAATAGCATTTTCAAAACTTGTTCAAAATAAGCAACCCCGGGGATTCCATCTCCCATTAATCGTACTTGACTCTGAGCATACTCTAATTATGTATCCATTCCCTCAGAATTTATGTATTATAAATTATCTTAATGAGTCTTTGCTGTGTCACTTTGAAGTAATCAAATTATTGTGTGGATATGTTTTGTCTTCTCACTTTTATTGTTTATATTTCTGTATCTTTACACATCCTAAACAGTTCAGAGCTCAGTCCACAGGCAGAAAAATGTCACGGATCAACTCAAACTATTTTCAAATTTAAAGAAATAATATCAATTTTGATGATAGCCACTGAAAATACGTTAACAAGAGAAATCTGATTTAGAGAAATACTACCTACTAGTATCTTTATAACATCATAAAAATTTACAAATATTACGAAAAATTCAAAGAACTGCACAGAGAATATTACCACAGCCACCACCAAGACTTTAAAATCAACATTTCCTTGTATTTGTTTTCCCCACATCTATTAATGGGTCTTCGTTTTTGCAGACTTTTGAAAGCAGCTGCAAACCTCAATATAATTCCCCATAAATTTTTCATCTTGGCTATCATTAACTATAGTAAAGTAATATGGTCTTTCTTTTAAAGAAAAATTTACACAAAATACAATGGATACATGCTAGATGTACCATTCAATGAGTTTAGACACATGCACATGCTCAAGTAATCGAATTTCCTAACAGAATACAGGTCATCGCCACTGCCCTAGAAAGTTCCCACGCGCCATTTCCCAATTAATCCCTGTCCCCACTACCCAGGCGTCCAGTTCTGGGCCATGACAACTACAAGTTCCCCAACATAAATTAGTTCTGCTTCCTTCACCCCATCTTTTGAACAGATAAAATCTGCATGCTTTTGTTTTTAGAACATCATATAAATGGAATCATACGTTATTGTCCTGTTTTATGTATGACTACCTTCGCTCAGCATAATGTTTCAAAGCTGCTACAGGCATCAATAAATAGCTTGTTCCTTTCCCTTGCTCAGTAGTATTCTGCCGTACAAAGACAGCAGGGTTTGTCTGTGTATTCTCCTGCCGACACACACCTGAACTGTTTCGGGGCTCCGGGTAAGCCCTGTGTCTGGCAGAGGTTATGCACAGTACTTGGTAACCCACCCCTGTGGTTCAGGGATTTCCCCCTGCCGCCTCCACTGCTCTGCAGCGGCTGTGTAGTTCTGAACTCTGATTCCTCAAGCCAGTAAGACTGCAAACAAGCCAACAAGAGCCTGTCCTCAGGCAAAACCATCAAGATGAAGAAACTCACTGAAGGCTAGTCCAGTTTCTACTTGTTTTTGTTTGTTCTACAGTGTTCTCATAATGTTTATTTCAAACATTATCCAGACTGTAGTCAGGGTCTGTGGAAGCATTTGTCTGATGGAAGCCAATGCTCCATTTTTTTAGTTATACTGCCCTATTATTCTTCTGAATACACTTGCTACAGACTGTAACTGACATACCTATTTTGGGGTGGTTGTTGTTTTCCTCCTCAACAGCTTGATTAAGCCAGTTCCTTGGATTAAAAGAGCCAAACTAAACCAGGAAAATAGGTCTCTGGGAGCTGGAGAGCATGAAAGCTGACGGAGGGGATCCTGTACTTCTGTGTATGAACGAACAAAGTCCCAAGTTCATCCGAGGGTGTTTAAGCACAACACATCCAAAGAAGCACAGATTTTAAGAACTAAAGATATCAACCACTGTTCAGGTCCCACACTAATCCTGACTGGTACACATGGGAAACTGACTCAAAGCAGCTTAGCAAATTCTTGAAAAGTTAACGAACAAACATTGGAACCACTGCCCACACCACACAGGAGAAAGGACTTGTAGTCTAAACCAGTTATAAAGTTTCCATTTGTTTCTTTTTATACTTTCATTTCAAGTGGAGGGTGGATAAAGTAGCTGCCTTAATGTCTTTCATAATCCTCCTGTTTGGATCATATCAACATTGGCATCTGTTACTGCCTTTTTCTTTCAGAATTGTTCAAATTTTCCCGATTCTTTGTATATTGAGTAATTTTTTTATTGTATCCTCTTGGGAGGTGACTTGACAAGATACTAAATGTAGATAAAGGAGAGCAAACACTGAACAATTGATCTTTCTGAATAAGACAATGCAAATAGATGGGGGAAAAGTCTAATTTTAATTGAAAAATTTTTTCCTGACAGTTTGCATCTTTAGTTTTTAACAGTAATGAAAACACCTAGAGATCGCAAACCACGGCGTTTTTATCCTATTATTCTATCTCCTCCAGAGATCCTGTGAAAGCTCTCATGATTAACCTTTGAA